TGTCACATGGTTATCAGCACAACGTCCTGCAAATCTCATCGAGACATTTTTAAAAAATGCAAGTTTCTGTAAAGGAAAATAATAATCAATAAACGAGCATTAACACATATTCATGAACCAAGAAAGAAACGAAAAATAGAGGAGACTTAATATTAAGGAAACTAATTTTAACGTACCAAGGCCTCCACTGACCAAGTGACCTATTGTTTATACAGTTTTCAACTTGTGGACTGCTTGAGTGCATTCACTGATTCTTGATTCGCGTTTCACTATGATGTAATTGTAACCAGTCGAATAACGTAACAATAATTTGATATTTGTAGATATAATTTTATTAATTATAGAATGCGATCTTTCTTGAAAATATAAAAGCACCAGAGTGATTGCATGGGAGGAAAATACTCGAACCCAAAGCCATTGATGAGTATAACCTATTCTTTGGTCACTCTGGTGCAAATTTAAATTTCATTATCTTCTTTACTATTACTATTATTAACAATGTTATTATCACTACCATCTATTTCTTTATTTTCCTTTTCCACATCTGAGTGGTTCATATTTTTTTTCTCTTCGTCAATCCAACATTGGAATTGCATAATAGATTTTTTCCGCGGAGTTGTTCTTCGCAGGTAAAAATTTTGTATTATGGACGTGCAACTGCTTTTCCTTCCAATTTACCAATAAACCAAGAATGAAGCCGATTAATGCTCCGTTGAAGAATTCGTTTGTGAATGTAAACATTTTCGCAAAGCGTTATTTATAAAATTGTACGATGTCTTGTTTGTGAAATTTATTGTGTTGTGGTTGGTGCTGTTTCTGTAATAAAATCTTGTGATGATGCTTAAATAGACAAATGCGCGTTGCTGCGCATCAACTATCATTGGTCACTCCAAATACAATGGACAATCGTAGCATTGTACGTAATACTTACGTCATTGATTAAGCCACTGATCAGGTTAGTATATTACAGTAGATCACATCGCGCAGCACATCAAAACTTGAAAAAAGAAATGGCAACTGTCAAGAAAACCGAACAAGAGCTGTATGACGATGTTGAGAAGGAGTTGAACGATGCCAAGAGGGTGTTGGAGGAGTTCATGAATGGAAGATATGGAAAGCATTTGACGGTGTTGGAAGACGGGCTGTGGGAGAAGAAGTATAGTGACAAAGTGGAGAAAAATGAGTGGGAGAAGGAGAAGACTCAGCTAGAGGAACGGCAGAAGAGACTGGAGAAGAGAAGAGATGACTGGGATGTAGAAGTGCAGAAGTGGGGAGCAAAACTCTGTGAGATAATAACTCAACCAGGTAATGACTTTGTGACTTGGAATTTTGTGTTCTTTATTTGTTTACACCTATGAGACTTTGTGACTTGGGCATTGGGGACATAGAGTAGTGTGTACATAGGGTAGAGTGGACATAGTAATATGATGACATCCTAATAATGCCTTGCTCATCAAACTTCTTTCATACTATTCACATTACTTGTACTTTTTTGTTAAGTAACATCAAAACGGAGTTATGATGAGATGCAAGTTGATATGACTGCCTTGATCTGTGATGCTCTCATTCAACTATTTAATACTGTCCCAAGTGAAGCAGACAACCTTACACCTCTTATTGCTACACCACTTATCTGAAAACTGCCTGTATCTTTTCATGAAGGGAGAAAATTTCCTCAGTTTGCTGAATTTATTCAAGCAATCTGGCAAAACACATTTCCTGTCTACTTACTGACATATTTGAAAAGCAGAACTTAGATAACACAATGGAAGATATGATACACTGGGGAATAGATAGTTTGATCAGGGTGCCGCTCCAGATTTTTCGTGAGAGTCTTGGTGGAGGGGCACTCCCCATTGAAATGGATCGGAACAGCAAGGATAAGGGAACAATGATGATAGGCAATAAGAGACCCGATTTTCTATGTTGGGTGAATGGTGTGCTTCTGTTTAAGGGCAAAGAAAAAGCTGAGGCTGATGATTTTCCTGTTGCTGTAGATGAACTTAAAGAGAAATTCAACAAGTTTGATCCTTTGTATTTTGGGAATGTGCAGTTTATGATATGTTATACTGTAGCAGGACTGCTTTTGGGATTTTATGTAATCAATGGATTACCCAACTCAAATCCACTGAATCACTTAGTTCCACTTTCGAATCAATTAAATATTAAAAACAGTCGAGACCGTGTTTCCATCCTTTGTATGGTTGTTAATATTGCATGCATAATAAGGACTGTGAGTAGTACAATTCCAAGGACAATTGTTCCCATTGGGAAACAATTGAAATTAGCAAAATCCACTATTACATTTTTTGAGGACTCAGTAGAGAAAATGGTCCCACTAGAACATCTTCCATATGAGGGAGATGTAAATGATTGTGTTGCTTTCTTACAGCAAATGTACAATTGTGCAAAAGGCCACCCAGGCCTTATTATTATCCAAGTAAAGGAAGGCAGAGGACCAAAGATAAAGAACCAAGGGATATATAGGGTTGTATTTGAAACACAGGGCCAGAACTTTTAATTAAGTAGTGAAAATGAAGTTTGCAAAATGGCCTTTTGCATTCTCCTGCTACTCTTCAATTGTTAAAACATAAAATGGTCAAAAAGGAGCTTTCAAACGAACAGCGTGAATGTATAATTGGTGCATATCTTAGCTGAACAAAACAAAAAGTTATTTCTGCTCAACTGAGCATTGCTTCTAGCACTGTGAATGATACAATTAAATGATATAAGCAAACACATTCTGCCACACCAAAGAAATGTCCTGGGCACCCAAAAATGCTTACTGACCGAGATGTACAGGTGCTGAAACACATCACATAGTCCGAGAGGATAGGTTTAGCTTGCTCCTCGTTCTGACAGGTTCTGATCTTGAAACAACATTACATACTAGTACTGTTAGAAGATACATGCATGATGAGGGTATTCGATGTTATACTGCAAAGAAAAGCCTCACTTAACTGAAAAGCAAAGACGTAATCATTTAAGATGATGTAGAGAAAAACGCGATTGGAAAGAAGAATAGAAACAAATAGTATAGTCAGATGAGTCAGTTTACTCTTTTTAAGTCAGATGGTCAGGCAAAAGTGTGGAGGAGTAGCAGGGAACTTATAACAAAGACTGTATTCAACCTACAGTGCAGTTAAATTTGGGTCAGTAATGTTTTGGGGGTGTTTCAGTTGGAATGGAATTGGTCCCTTAGTATTAGTTGACATGGATTTCGAGGCTTATATTAACATTCTAGCTAACAATTTTATACCTTGGGTGAGAGACTATCTTGATTCAGTCTTTCAGCAAGATGGAGCACCATGCCATACATCTTTGTATAGCACTTGATGGATGTCAACTCATGGTATTCGAACTTTAGATTGGGTTGCACAAAGTCCTGACCTTAATCCAATCAAAAATCTTGGAACCATCTATCTAGACTGTCAGGTACATAAACGAAAACCTCTGCCTCAGACAAAGCAAGATTTAATAACTGCAATTCAAGAGGAATGGAGTAATATTAGCCTAGAGATGTTGCAAAATTTAATTATGAGCTTACCACATCAAATAAAAGCTGTTATTAAGGCTAAAGGTGGAAACACCAAGTATTAGCATTTAACATCTGTAATTTTTATGTATGCAACAATAAAAGCAGTAGTTTATCATGGAGAATTTTTATTGATGCTTGATAAGTTTGAAAATTGTCAATGTTGCTTAGAAAATACAAAAATTTCATATCTATTTCAAACATGTGACAAAATAGTAAGATAATCAGGATATTATCTGAAGTGTTACACACATACGAATTGTTACACGGGGATAATATTTCCTTTTTGAGGGTAGGACAGTCCGACGTGTAGTACAACTTTAGGTTTTACGATTATTATGTCCCGTGCAATTCGGATGTGTGTAACACTTCGGATAAATTCCTGATTTTAATAGTAATAGTAAGGGTAGTGTACTATTCCGGCATTGCACATTCTGGAACTTTCCTACTGAAACACATGATTAACAAACGCGACCCTCTTTATTTTACGAAAAATGCCTTGAAGGCGATAAACGATACGAATACCACGTATATATTTTGTGAAATATATATGGCATTACATGGCCCGTGAAGAAACGAAAAAATTCAGTGAGGGGTGTGAATAGCTTCTTGATATGGATTCTCATTAAAATATCATAGGGTGTGTTTTGGAAAATTTGTGTGAGGAATCCTTAAACTGATAACTCTCGAACTATGTGATTCTGAGACAGAAGTGGATGTTATCCTATTTACAGATATGAAAAATGAACACACCTTATATGAATACTATTATTTTTTGACCTTCTTGTTACCCCTCTCTGATTTCTCCTGTTTTAGCGCCTCTTCCAATATCCAAGCGATATGACCGAGAATCTTCTCTACTAGAGGTTTCAAATGCTCTATATCCCTATTTTCATAGGTCATCAAGATCACTTTGGACAGCTTGAACACCGGTTTCCCCGCATCATTCAACGAACACTCAATAAAGTACCAGTAAAGGGAATCTGTCACAATTCCAAACACCTTGTTGACCGGGTGCGCCTCTTCCATCTCGTCAAACTTACGCTTGCGACCCCTCTATCAAACATAATTGGTAAATATACTTCTCAAGACCTAGGCAGGGCATATAGACTTACCAAAACTGAATCCAATTGAACAACGTTCTGGGCAATGCCCTTCGTGATATCCCCCTTTTCGAATTCCGTCACGGCTATTGTTTTTAAGTTAATCCGCAGTTCGTATAAGGAGTCTACTGGACCATGGCCATTCGGTCCTGAAATATACTTCTCAAACCGTAGTATGAATTTTCTTTTTTTAAGATCTGCAGCCGCGAGCAGGAAAGGAGTCACATATTCTGATTTCGTCCTTTTGCCCATTGCAACTTCGATGTTATCAAGACGTAACCTCAAGTTATTCATGAGGTCTGCTACCACTGCTTGGGATCCTTTATCGCTAAGATCTTCACATTGACACTCGAACAGCGGGAACGCTTCTGGATCTTCTGACTGTAGACCATAGAGCCGGCATACCTCTGGCAAGTCATAATCACTGAACTCTTTTGATGATGTTACAGGGTATACTGTGAACTTTTGAGTTTGATTCCTGATAAACGAGTGGAGCATCTGACGAAATTCTGGATCCTTTCTGGGAAGGTATTGATTACCATTGGTGTCGACCGCGAAGTTGAACACTATATCCTCACACTCCAGAATCTCTGGCTTGAGCTTAGCAATTACCTCTTCTATGAATTGTTCGATGGTCACTTTTTCTAAATTAGCAGTCCACTTCATCCCATTTTTTCTGCTTGGGTAAACTATGACATCGAATTCTGGAATGTAGCAACGAATTATATTAATAAAGAGCTCAACCAACTTTTCCTCAGACACCACAACAGTCAGCACACCCACCGTAGGCATTGTTATTTAGTTGCGCCCGCAACGACGCAATCTCATTTTCCAATTCGGATAGCCTTACATAATCAGAGGCTGTTTCATCACCGTTGATGGCCTTGACAAATTCTGCTATTTCCGATGCTGGTCCGAATTCCAAGCCAAATTGTTCAAGTTTTTCTTCAGTCAATCCAAGAAAAGATTTACCCGAAATCCTTTTCTTCTGGAGTATTTGAATTTCATCTTCTTCAAGGCTCACTATCTTTTGAAGGTTCTCAATAACTTGACTGCGGTTCCATTTCCTGACTTCCTGGACAGATGGAAGAGGTTCTTCATCCCAATAAGACATGGTTAGTTGGAGAAAACGAAAAAAATGTAGTGTATTTAAGGGTTCGCGTACTCTTTTCTGGATTTTCGTTGACATGCAAAAGTAACGCGCTTTTATTCTATTTATATGTATAAATCTGCATGACTATGACTTGATAAAGTATGTGGTATGACGACTGTGTGACGACTTTTGATCACTCGTTTATCAAAGTGGGAAAGAAAAAACGAGGTCATGGGTATGGTTGGTCACAATGTTGTGTCCTACTTTCAGTCTTTAATACGGATGAGGGATTGATCTGTCGCACCACGTGCGATTCTTTCTATCGCGTATAACAAATGTATCATTATCAGGAATTTACCTGCCAGGTCGCACAACCCGACACGTCGTACAGCCCATAATATTTCTCTAAAGCGGAGTAGAACGTGACCTGATTCTTGCAATTACATTGGTCAAATTTGTATATCAACCAATGAAATTGTAAAAAAACTATTCCGCTTTAGCCTACCCCTAAATTAAAGCGGTTGATATACAGAAAAGGACAAAGATGTTACACTGAGATGCACACTTTCAGCTGGTGATATTGTTTTAATGTTAACTACGAGATAATAATTCTAGACTATCCGCATAACATTTTTGCTTTAGTGTACTATTCAGGATTGGACGGATCTTCAACCTCCAATCCTCGTCAGGCGCGCGTCAAATTTATTAAAAAAAAAAAATAAAAATAAAAAGGTAGTATTACTTATTCTACACGGATTAACAATAAATGAACTATTTACCAAAGTTACGCAGATGGAAAAACACACTATGAACGAAATAAACGATACTGTGTCGGATCCCTCTTGTGATAGGAAAATTGCCGTGTAAGAGGAGACGTGAGGAAAATGCAATAACTTGTCCAGGCCTGAGAGGTATTACGATCTGGAGTTGTGGGAAGCAAAGTTCACTCCCCTCGAAATCACCCAACGCAACTAAGCAACATAAACTATTCGGCTCGTCGTGTTCGTCCCAGTGATAATAGTCATCGGGAAGACCCCAAACATCTTAGGAGCGAATGAATGGACCCCAAGTTAGCTTTTCTAGTTTCTCATATAACACCCCATAATAATCTCGAACGAATTGATTAACAGATGTTGATAATGGGTAAAGATCACGAATCAAAGTGTCAATACACCCTTGATGCTCAACATTATGGGAACTTGCCGTGTTCGAACTAGTGAAGGGGAGAAGATTGTTTCGTGCATATACACCAAAATGTTCCCCAGAATTCATCACTACGGTGGGAAGGGTTATTTAAGGTGTGTAATTTACGGCCTTGGTGGCTTGTGTTATGGCAGTTGGATTGTTGAGAAACTCGAGATGAACTAAAGTTCGGCCATCGGCATCCGTAATACACTCTGGATCTACAACATGACGAAATCCCACTAATCTGTTAAGCGAACGAAAATTATCTCGTGCCGATGCGATTAAATGGGTCCTTTCTCTTCGAGTGGAACGTATAGGAACTGGAATACGACTATCCTGATTATTTCGAATATCCATGGCATGTTCGAGTTGTTTCCACTTCAATCTTAGGTGTTCGCGAACGTCTCTTTTCCGGATTGGCCCTTTCATTCCTAACCAATGGCGAAGGCAATCCATAAACGTTTTTTCTTATCACTTGTAGATGTTGAATCAACCTTGTTAATTATATCGGTATCAACTAACATCAGAAAATCGGAGGGAATATCAAATATCTCGAATGTGCCAGTCTTATTTGATTTCGTTTCTCTAATTAGCGTTTCTATTAGTAAGTCCCTCGTAGTTATATAATGTCGCGTTTTTTTATCTTTATTATTATATGATATCCGATCCGAGGGAGAGAGTGGTGTACTCGACCATTTGTTTTTAATGTAATATATTTTGTCTGAAGTACATAATACCCGAGTCGCAGATTGGGTTCGGTGCTAAAAAATAAACTCACTAAGTTTAGCTTGATCTGTTAAGATACCCCTTAGTGACAAATATATAATGCTCGAAGACAGGCAATAATAAATTGTATTTTTTGCGGAGCGGAATAATTACTCTCGCCAAAGCACTGAGCCACCAAAACAGCTACTGTAAATCATTATTATCCAGAATATTTTCAATATTGACCGTTCTTTCCAAATTAATATTTTTCTGACCAGAAAAAAATCCAAACCTAATCTTAACTTTAACTTTATGATACACATTAATATTATACCTATCAGTAGTCCAACTAATTTTCTCCTTTGGTACCTCAATTCTCAAATCATACGACCATTCATTATTTAAAATTTTTGGGAATTGATCTCCTGATATCTTTCTTTCCAGTACATATCCTTTGTCAAACTTTGTGTTCCCCGAAGCTCTAAACAAATAATATTCTTTCAATCCAACAAATATTTCTTTTATTTTAAAACCCTGCTTTAAAAATTTAAGAGACAATTTCACAATAATAGGATTTCCGGGTCCAAATGTGTTAATTCATTGAGATATCATAACCTAATCCACGTTTCCAAGCTTTCGGATTATCCCATTCAGCCCACCAAATAGGTACCGGCATTGGCATCGGACTGTATCGTGTGATCAGACAATTGCATTTAACCTTCTTCTTTGAGCCCTGTCATTTCCATAAATTATTTTTCCTCTTAATTTTAGCGTTCACATTATAGTAAATGGATCCAGTTCCCAGGCTCATTGACGGTGGTAAATCATCAGGCAACGGAAGTTGGAACGGAATATTCATAGTTGTAATGCTTTCGTATAATTCCTTTTTTGACCTTACATTATTTTTCAAATTTCTACTTTGCCACAACAATAACGATCGATTCAGAATTTGCTTTTTGTGAAGATAATGAATTGTTTCTATGAAAGTTTCGGTTCTGTATGATTTGGTGTTTGGATCATATACTTGACGAGTTCTGGTTATTTGTTCGGTCCAATAGACATATTCAGTGCCTGTAACGGAAACTTCAATTTGCTTGGCTTCCAAAGGTTCTTATTCGGGAAATTGGAGACATAAATTCCCAGCTACGCATGAGTCTGTGATTCCTAAGAGTCCACGTTGGAATCTATTGGCGTTTTCTACATAAGAGAACCATACTTCTCTGCTGGCTTTGGAGTACGAGGAATTTGGAGGTTGAAGTAATGTCATTTCACTAATTATAAAATGGGAATGTAGATACTTTTTAGTGATTACTCAAATCATGCCACAATAATTGATTGGTCAAATGACTTTCGTGTGATTAATACATTTAAAGTGTTACCATTACTTCATTGTTCGGCTAAAAAAAGGTAACAAGTACAATAATAAGCAAATTATTATTCTTGGTACATTTCTTATTAGTTTATATCAATTTGTAAAACAAATAAACTGAACTAGAAATGTTCTATTCTTGCATATACTAATACAGTTGGTTTCGTTCTGAGGGTGCACAAATCGATTGGAATGAGGGAAAGATCTTATGCTTCCGTCGAATACATATATCCATATATTGAGGCCCAAATATTTCTTCTTCAATAGTCAATGGAGTCTGCAGAGCGATGCTATTGGATCTTTCTGATTCCATTAGTATTATTAATTTTGAAATGCAAATTACGAGGAAGGGCAAAAATGTAGGGTTTTTATACTTTCTGATCACGTCCCACTCGTGATCGCAAAATATATAATGGCATTTAATCAGGCATATTATGACTTACTAGCAAAATTGCTGGCTTCCTTAATAAACGTGTCATGGATACGTCTTACATCACAGAAGCGTAATCATTATCCGAGATACAAGCTGGAGAATTAATCTAATTGTAGAATCGTTTTTAAAACATGAAGCTATTAGATACCAAAAAGATTAATGTGCCAGAAACAAACCCAGAGCTGGCCCGAATGCCCGACATATTTATCTTCCAAAAAATTACCAGTTACATATGTCGCAGATAATGGAGTCCAAACTGATAGTAAATATTACCTGTGATCACGAGAAAGAAAACAATCACCGGGTTCATGAATGAGCTTTAATTAAGTCTTATCTCAGCACTGCTTGATTACCGTATAGTAAATTTCTGCCTTCATCATTTGATCCAAAATCTAAACCCAATCTGTTGTTGACGCGTTTTCATTCGTTGTATGTGCATATCTTTTTCCATAAGTAATTTTGCCACTAACCTTGAATTACCTTTTCTAGTAACTTTTGTGGAGATCATATACGACCGTTTTTATAATACCGTTATGCATACTGCATAACGGATTGGTGTCTGCGTGCATTTATAGGGAAAAAAAAAGATTGTCGATACCGCGCGGCAATTCCCAATATTTTTTGGATGTACAAAAATCAAACACTTCTGTCGATCTTATGCTTACACTAACTAGCCTAGTTAATATAGATATCCGCTATATAGCAATCGCTCGCTAGCTGAGGATTGTGTAATGTGAGTAGATATTAATATTAAGAACTCGCTTCGTATAATATCAACTTATTGGTATTGGAAATTACGACATCTAATCAAAACTGTTTACAATACCGATAAATACGCATAATTAATCTGATTAGGTAAACTATTGTAAAATGATTGACCAATCATTAATCGCATTTTAGGCCAAAACGATGTATCCTGCAGTAATTCTGCGATAACTAGATAAAGGGATAATGAATATTGTAAGTTAAGTAAATAATATTTGAGTTAAATGTCAAGTCAAGGTTGTTATGGAAGGCTTTACGAATGGTTTAATTCATCAACTTATGAGTAACGACCTGTTTTTTTTTCAAGAGTAGCGTAGCAATTCATCTTTGTACAATAATATGGTAATAGACAAACAAGGCTAATAGTTTTAAGGATAAGTTTATGGGGGCAAGTTGCTAAAATTATTATCAGTATACACAATGGAAGTGGGAAGTAACAATAATAAGGCAAATTTTGATTATGCAA